ATGGTTAGGGGTGTGTAAAAAATCTAAATTAATCTGAATCAATTTATAATCGATCCGATCTGTAATGAAAAATTCGATTTATTTAAAAAAAAAACGAACTAATTCACTTTACAAAATCGATTCAGTTATTTTATTCATTTTTATAAAGTGGATTTATTTGATTCGGTTTGATTTAAAAAAAAAACAATCTACATATAAGTAAAAAATGAATAATCGCACTAAATCAATCCAATTTAAAAAAAAATCCATATTTTAAAAAATTAAACCGATCTACTTTATAAAAAATAGATCAATTAACCGATTTATTTTTATAAAATAGATCAGTTAGATTCAGTTTAAATTTTTTCAAAAAATCGATCCATAAACATCTCTAATTAGGTGTTAATCGATTCGATTTAAGCTGGTATTGACACCAATTTGTCAACTATTATAGTGAACCATTTTAGTGCTTCTCGTGACTACTAGCTACCTTGAGTGTAAAGTCTCTTGCACTAGAGAGCTTAATCTTGGGGGGAAAATATGATGTATCAGCAATTTAATTAGTTTCACATATTTAGTATATTTAGTGTGGTGGATACAAGAGATCAGATGGTAGGAAATCGGGGATCACCGAATCAATGATAAAAAGAGATTTTTATTTGATTAGAAGAGAAAATAGTAGTAATTTAGAATTGATATGGTAAGAATCATGAGATATTAAGATGGCACACTTTTTCCCTCAATTGTAGTGACACAGATACATGTATGTGGAATGATAACTATAAAATTAACTATTAAAACTGTTATCGATTACATAGTGTAATATTGTTTTTCATAAAAAATTGCTCCCTAGAGTGATAGATTACAATGAATTTGTAACCAATTACAAATATAAGTTTTTGTAACAAAGGTGAAGTTTTAACTATGATATCAGTTATAATTTAATTATAATCAATTACATAAGGAAAAATCTAAAAAGTAAGGTGCTCTTTATTGTAATCAATTACAACTCAGGATAATAAATTACATATGTTGAAATAAACACAAAAAATAAATAAAAATATTTTAATGGATTATAATAACAAATTAATCGATTACAATTATTATGAACTGTCAAACCTATATATTAAATAAATATCGTTATCTTGCACTATAATATTTTTAGAGGCTTTTTTTTAATGAAAGGTTTTTAAGATTTTTTTAATCTCTTACCTAATTTGATTTTTATTTATCGTAATTATTTATAAATTAAATTTTAATATTTTAAAATAATTTATAAAAAAATAAAAATAATTTGTGTTATAATAAAAATTATTTAACATAAATCTAAAATA